TCCAAGTTTCTGAAAAGCGGAGTGGATTAGTTGCCAAATGACCACACTCTTGGTCAATACGTACTCGTTGTCTCTTCGTCGACGGTGCACTATGAGTACGCTGGTGACCAACTAATCCCAAACGGCCAGTGCATTCGCGCCCGCACACATCGCAACGCCATATAGTCATGTCACCACGACCCATGGCACCGATGGTTCCTTTGCGTACTGCGCGCTTTCGTTCTCCGCCGCGCAACAACTGCTCGCTGAACTCGCAGACGCCCGTCCGAATCGTATTCATCCAGACAGTCAGGTTCAACGCTAATTCTTCCCAACATCTAAAATCAATTTTACAACGTGAAAGACTTACCTGCGCAGCATCCTGGTATCTCAGCTTCTGACCACCAGGATTTCGCTTACCTGATCTCAGTTGTCCATACAGCAACTGCTTCGGGATACGGTCATCGTCCATCCGACGGACGTGACCCAGCCAACGAAGCTCGCCGCAGTATCTCAGTGTTCGGAGTAATGTCAGACCACCGAATACCCAGGGTGCGTCTTAGACATTGCAAATGAAAGCGGCTCAAATATTTCACGTTCCGCTGATACAATGTCCTTGTTTCACTGCCGTACAGCAGTACAGACAGCACCATTGAGCGGTAAACAAACAGCTTAGCGCTCGGCTTCAGGCTGTGGTTCTTCCAAACACGTCTTTCAAGACGTCCGAAAGCAGTACTGACCTTTGCCACACGAGCTCTCAACTCGCGGTCCACGGATAGATCGGTGTACAAATTGTCACCCAAGTAAGAGAAATTTGCACAGCTGTCGACAGCATCTCCATTAACACGGATTTGAGGTGAAGGTGCACAGAGAGTACCTCCGCCCAGAGAAGACTGAAAGAAAGAAAATGTCTTACCTGTGTTGATCTTCAGTCCAAACTTGGATGCCGCGGTCGCGAAAGCCGTGGCCAGTCGCTGTAGTTCGTCCTCGTTATGTACAAACAGCGCGCTGTCATCTGCGAACAGAAGCATGCACATCATTGAGGTATGTAGCCGGGTTGGGGCGCCGAAACATCGAATATTCAGCAGGTGCCCATCCGTCCGGTACTCTACCATAACACCGTCCTCCCCAGATTCCTGAAAAGTAACTGTTAGCATGGCAGTCAAATATAAGCTAAATAGAGATGCAGCCAGGACACAACCTTGCTTCACGCCAGTGACAATGTCAAAATCACCAGAGGTAGATCCACACGATTGCACCTTCGCGCTCATGCCCCTTTGCAACAATCTAATCAAATTGACGGAGTTACCTGGACATCCGAATTTACCAAAAACTGTCCACAACGCCTCACGGAATCGGAGGCCTTGGTGAAGTTGACGAAGAGGGCATACAGCGGCTGGTTCCGTTCCCGGCACTTCTCTTGAAGCTGTCGAGCAGCGAACATCAGGTCGATCGTACTCCGATTCGCCTGGAACCCGCATTGCTCCTCAGGAATCTTGGCCCCCAAGACATCTGTATTCAGCCGGTTCAGAAGGATTCTGGCGAGCACCTTGCCTGCGCTGCTCAGCAGACTGATGTCCCGATAGCTGTCGGGACATTGCTTGTTACCCTTACCTTTAAACTAAGGTACTATCAGAGCATCGTTGAAATTCTGTGGCACCACCTCCTGCTCCCAGATGGAGTGAACCAGCTGTAGCAGTGAACGTTCCATCTCCGGCCTGCCACTCTTTAGGATCTCACCTGGCAGTCCATCTTCACCTGCAGCCTCAAAGTTGCGAAGTTGACCAATCGCTCTCTGCAATTCCAGTAAATCAGGAGCGACAACAAGTGAAGGCTTGATGG